CCTGCATTAAGAGCCCTCCAAATGAGAATTTTCTTCATAAGTCATAAGTAGTGCTGACCGTAATTCAGCACATTCTTAAATTTCTGAAACTGATGCAATAAAATCAGCTTCAAGGATCAATTCAAATTTAAATAGGTTGCCATGAACACAGTAATTTGATTTTCTCTAGATTGCATTTTATATCCTTACCCATTTTCATAACTTAAGGCATTTGATGTTGATTATTATTTAGTAAACCACTGAACCTGTCATTGCAATTTTTAGACTCTGGAGAAAAGAGGAGAAAACTAGCATATGCTGAAAGTTGATCTAACTGGAAGAGAAGGAGGGGCGTTTAGCACCGATGATTATTTTCTATATTGGAATTTCTCCCTTGGTGAAAAACTTTCTCTTAAAACCTAAGCTTATTCCCAGTACTGTTCTTCATTCATCTTGAATTTTAGAATGGAATGACTCTGAGGTGCTTCAACAGAAGGGGAAGGGTAGGGAATACATATTAGCAATTCTTTATGGATAATTCAGCTGCTTCTCAAATTCATTCCCCCCTTTTATCTTCCTGAGCTTATGCTTAGCCTGAAACCCAATGTCAATTATCTCCTTTCCAGCGTTTTATGAATGATGTAGCTCCAGGACAAACTATCACTTTGGAGACATGATTTCTAGGAAGTTGACAATCTGTCAGAATGGTATATATGATCACTTGCCCCTCGGCTCTCGAACTAGAGAGATAGGGATATTAAATTTCGTTATCTCCCCATGTATGAGATTTTACCTGAAGAATTTCTCAGTTCTTAACAACGTATATCTGGTGTGGTGGCTTTATTTATATTGACCACCAAGGGGCAGTAAATGATTAGATTCATGCTATGCTAGGATTGTTCAATTCTATATAAAGAACGGTTGCTGAAATTGGGTATGTCTAGTTTAATGAAAAGAAGGACTAGGGGTGACATGATAGCAGTGTTCCCATATCTCAGGGGCTGCCACAAAGAAGGGGAAGTCAAGCTATTCTCCAAAGCACCTGAGGGCAGGACAAGAAGCAATGGGGGGAAATTAATCAAGGAGAGAAGCAACCTAGAACTAGGGAGACATTTCCTGACAGTTAGTACAATTAAACAGTGGAACAACTTGCCTCCAAAAGTTGTGAGTGCTCCAACACTGGAAGTTTTTAAGAAGAGATTGGACAACCATTTGCTTGAAGTGATATAGTGTCTTCTGCCTGAGCAGAGGATTGGACTAGAAGACCACCAACTTACTCTGTTCTGTTCAGATGGAATTCAAAAGAATCCCAGTATAGCAGCGTTTTTCAACCTTGGCAAGTGTAAGGCATGTGGAATTCTCCATGTTGACATCCAAGCATCCACACGGCAATAGAGGATGAAGCCAGCCATGTTCTGCTGCTTGGTGGTCAATCCAAGATAATTAGGAGAATGTGGATTGGGATTATTTATTTGCTAATTCATATAAAACATTGTCCCTTCATCATTCTTCAGCCAAAAGGCTTCCAGGGTGGCTTATAAATATATTGTTCCCCTTGGACACGCAGACAAAAACAGATGGGAAGGCAAGATGGGTTAAACCAGATTTCATCCTCCCACAGTCCTTATGAAGACCATCTGGGAAGCTAACAATTCAGATGCATTGCTAGAAAAACAGCTGGCAGTAGACCTAAAGCTAGCAAAGAAATTGCTTTGTTTTTCTCCTCTCTATATTAAGGTAACAGGAAGTGCTTACTTGGGGCCACATGTACAATTTAGAATAGGCTAATGTTTTCCATTTTCAGATTCTTAAAGAGTGCTGATCTGTTAATTACCTGAACAGAGGTCTGAGTGACAGATTTTAATTCTCTCTCTCTCTCTCTCTCTCTCTCTCTCTTTCTTCAGTTGACAGATCCATTCAGGCCCATGTTGAGGGTAAGATGACAACTAACCGTTTTTGTCTTGTTTTGCTATGCCACTTCTGTTTTTCTTAGAATTTTCCCCAGCTGCCTTCCTCTTTGACTATTGCCCACCTAAGGCACTCATCACAAGGCATTATTTATTCTTTTTTCAAAAAAGTGGGTCACCTTTTATGCTATATAAAAATTACTGTTTGTGCGATCTGTGATAAATCCGTACAATTTTCGAAGAGGAATAGACCGCAAAAATAATCTGGTCCAGTCCTCTATAATGTGCAAAACAACAACGAGAACTTCTTTGAGAGGTGGCAGCCTCTTAAAAACCTCCAGAGATGCCGAACTCACATATTCTTTGCCTCTTCTAGCTTCATCAAATGCCAGATTTCCTCCACAGTACATCAATAGTAGCCGCCCAAGAGCATCTTGGCATCTTGTGCCAAAGATTTTCCAGACATAGCAAGTGCTAAGGAATTGCCCACATTATGTACTTGGTGTGGCCAGCTTGGAAGCCACAGAACACATGCCAGAGAGTTTTCCAAACCACTTGATTTTAATCAGTCCTGCAGACATTCCCACAGCATGTCTGCATCTTCTTAGCTATGTACCTCCTTCTCAGTGGTTGTCAAGGGTTCTGGCAAGCAAGCGCTTCAGAGAAGTCATTGCTCACCTCCTTGCAAGCGTTCACCACAATGAGTGGTACCTCTGACATTCTCCAGACATTTTGACCATCATTGTATGGATGAACTGTGCATGTGTCAGCACATAGACAACTTTTGGCACTTGCTGGGGGGCGGGTTCCAGGTTGGATAGCTTGGGGACATGATGTGGGTAGTCCCCAAGGATGTTCAACCTGGAACCATTCTGGCCACAGGAGTGTTCAAAAGTACTTTGAAGCCACCCAGATTGTTTCATGTAGGCATTGGAGATATTTTTGTTTCAGCAAAATGAGTGATAGTGTCTCCACAGTTCAGATCACTTTACTGAAATAAATCTGCGTGGACAAGTTGTGGCGTATAGGCTACCCAGCACCATCAGAGGTTTACTTTGCAAGCCACAGTAGATGGACATGATTATTTTCTCTTCCTCATGTCGCCGCATCTTTTTTCCTTTGTCACATTGACTTTGTTATTAAAGTTCAACTCCTAACAGATGTCTTAATATAGCTAACTTAACAGCCAATGTGAAGGCACTCTATTTGGTCACAGAGCCTTTCCAGAGGTCTGGTAAATCTGCACATCTGCTTCTGCCAGTTTGGCAGGAGATGTTTTGTGATTGTAAAGATTCTCAGGGTATCAATAGTTATATCAAAAAAGTGCACTGTAAAATCATGTCTACAGCAATTGGAATCAGAGTGAAGGTGGAAAGGAAGAAGATGAAGATCTGTGTTAGTGGGCTAAATGTTTTGTTATGGACCATGACTGATGTCCATGATTATATCTGTGATGCCTTATCAATCAGTTGGCCCCACATCCCAAGATAAGACAGGTTGTCCTTGCTCTCCATTTTACAAGCTGATCCTGTTATTTCTGTGCCAGTGTGTGAATCCCCCTTCAGCAATAAAACATGCTATGTACCTTACATAAAAGGTGGCTTAAAGCAGCGGTACACAACTTTTCTCCATTAAAAATTGGCACCGTGGAGGCTCACAGTCTAAAAATAAAAATGGAAGGACAAAACCCAGAAATGATTTCAGTTTATTGATTTTTATATGCAATGATAGTTAATAAAATCAAATTCCAATATGGAATTAATAATTTCTCCTTTCCATTGTATTGAAAAATGAAATTTGGTCACAATTTTTGGACAGATCTGAGTCTTTCATGGGAGGGAGGGAAGTTTTCTAGTGACCCATGCAGTTCTAGGGCCTTTGGTTTTGAATCTTTTCTTTCAATGTATATAATGCTACAACTTTTGTGAATCTAAAAAGCAATTGTTCTCATCAGTGCCTGGATAGGAGACTCCTTATAGAACACTGCATTGTCTTATGTGTTGAAAAATAAACCCTCATAGATGGCAATTCTCAAGCAACAACAGGTTCACCTTTAAATTTCATTATTCCTATAGCCAAGAGGTATTGTTTTCAATTCTTTTTAATTCTTGTTTCTTTTGTAGAAACCAGGCAAATGGTGTGCTATGCATGTTCATATTGCTTGGCAGATATACCACCATCAACAGAAAGTCAAGGTGAGCTCTTTTGGGTAAAGATTGATTGATTGATCTCAGACTCTTTATGAGGTCCATAGCTCAATGACAGAACAAGAGTTTTGCATGAAGAAGGTCTCGGGTTCAATCCCCAAAAGTTCTCATGAAAACTCCAAGAGACCCAGTCAATATAAGCTCCTCTCTGCCTTATGCTTTGGAAAGCCACTGATGCTCAAATGAGGTAATACTGGACCAGCTGTTTAAGGCACTTCTTACAGTTATACATGTCAGGTAGTGTGATGACCCGTAGTCTCTCAAAATAACCCAAAACATACATTAAAAGTCCGGTAATGCCTTCAACTTAACTTCACTGTTTTATTAGGCACAGTTTAAAGTCACAACAGTAAATAATGAGGCAAAAGGAAACCAAAAACAAGCCGCATTGATGAGAGTTCCAACGTAAGCCAAGATAATTAATCATACATTCCAGGAAGATAACTGGGGAGAGTCCATGGGAAGAACGCCAACAAAGATAAACCTCATTCAAAGGAAGCACTAAATTTGACTCCAGCAATTCTGACTATTCAGTTACAAACTTATATACATAGCTCCCAGCTGCAAGTCATGAGGAGGATCATGGTAATCTCCTCCTGATCCTCTCCTCTCTGCGTGCCCTAGGATGGGGAGGGGATGGACCTAGATCCTCTTCTGATTGCTCAGCTGACCTCTGCCCTTCCCCGGCCTCCTCCACCACCTCTGGAGCCACACTCCTACTCCCTGTTGGCTGTTCTTCCTCTTCCTCAGAATCAGTCTCCACAGGGGCATGACAGGTAGACAACCTGTAGTCCTCCAGTTGTTATGACATTGAAACTATACTTCTGTCAAACACAAAGAATCAGGACCATTCATAAGGATTTACATAGAAGCAGGGGTGGGATTCTACTGGTTTGGACTGGTTCGGGTGAACCAATACTTCTGGTGATCACTTGGCCCCACCCACCCACCCCTGCCCTTTTCCTGTGCTTTATTTCCTGGTTTGTGAGCACAGCTGATTCGCGCGGAAGAACGGTTTGCCACGCATCAGCTGTTTTACTCACCGAGGTTGCAGCAGAAGGTAAGTATTATAGTTAAAAATTGTCTTTTCTAAATGCTGTGCACATGCGCAAAGCGCACACAAAGCATGCACTCAATGAAACCGATTGTCATCCCAGATGAATCGCACCACTGCAAAAAAGATTTACTCAGGCCTATATATAAGAATGTGGTCAACTGAAGATCAGCAGTAAATTAGCACCAGATAAGGTGGGTTTGGACTAGGAGCACTTGTAAGGATGCAAAGACTCTAAACTGATGACACACTTAATTCTGCCCCCTCCCCTCAGCTCCACCTGCTCTTTTCTTATAAGTTCAGCATCATCTCAATGGCCACAGGTTACTCAATGCTCAATGCTCTGCTACAAGTCCATTGTCCAGAATATTAACTTCTTGGCTTCCAGTTCACAAGTATGGATTACAAATATTGGCATCTATAAGACATGTATTATAAAAAGAACCTGACCTCTCTCTGATTTCCAAAATACTCCTGGTATGTTCCTTTTTTTTATTTTGGAAAAAACGTTCAGCCACCATCATGATTTTTCCCTCTATTTCAGAAACAGATGCAGTCTGATCCCCACAAATTGGATTTTGGTTTGAAACCTGAATTTCTGAGCAGACCTCCAGGTCCCAGTCTTTTTGGGGCCATCCATCATCCTCATGACTTAGCCCGGCCATCAACTCTTTTCTCAGCAACCAGTGAGTTTGTAAACCGCCCATCTGGTCTCTGTTTGGAAATGGAACAGGAAGAAATGGAAGGGAGGGCCATGTGATATGCGCTTCAGCAATATACGATAGTGTTTTACTATTGATAAATATTATCAAATGAACAAATAACTTCATGAATTAAAATATGAGACTTGAATTGACCTCGTTTGCTGTTATTTTAAATGCATTCTTCTTTTGATCAGAATTTCATTGGGAGGGTGGGATATGTGTATATAGGTAGTCCTCAACTTACAACCAACCACAATTGAGCCCCAAATTTTTGTCAGTCATTAAGTGAGTTTTCCAATGTTTTATAACCTTTCTTGCCACCATTGTTAAGTGAATTGCTGCAGCTGTTATGTTACTAACACAGTTGTTAAGTGAATCTGACTTCCCCATTAATTTTGCTTGTCAGAAGGTTACAAAAGGTGATCACATGATCCCAGGCACTGCCACCATTATGGGTTGCCAAACATCTGAATTTTGATCATGTGATCATGGGGATGCTTACAACAGTCGTAAAAGAGTCAAAGGTCATTTTTTTTCAAATGCCGTTATAACTTCAAACAGTCAATAAACAAATGGTTGTAAGTTGAGGATCACCTGTGCTGTCCATATGCTCATTTGAGATAATCAGTTACATTAGAATCAAAATACTGGAAGGGGCTGTTTAGGCCATTGAGTTCAATGTCTTGCAATGTGCAGGAATCCAGCATCCCAACCTCTCTGGCTAAACTTTAATCCAACTTAGGATACGGTGGTCCCTCTACAAGTGTTGTACTCAAATGTTTTGGTTTGCTTGCTTTTGAATTTGTTTTGCTAGGTGCCGCCCATCCTGCCGGTCCTACGTTTGGCCCTCCCCCGCACCACAGCAACTTTCTCAACCCTGCAGCCCATTTAGGTAAGTAGAAATCCTCAAAGTAAAGCAGTCAGAACCCCCTCAGAACGTGTCAGAGGCTGTCCTAGATTTCAGGATATTGTCCAAAGTTCCATGACGTTGAGCAGATTTGAGTCTTAGTCAACGTCCACTTGGGAAACGGCTTCCTGTCCCATTTTTTTTCATCTTGAGTTCTTTCGTGGACCAAAGGTGGAATGCAAACCTCAGAGATTATCACTGAGTTGAGGTTGCAAATGATTTTTAATCTGCATCGGATGGGAGAAGAGCATTTTTACTTTAGAACAGGGGTCTCCAACCTTGGCAACTTTAAGAATTATGGACTTCAACTCCCAGAGAATTCTAGGAGTTGAAGCCCACAAGTCTTAAAAGTTACCAAGGTTGGAGACCCTTGCTTTAGAACATGAGAACTTCCATACGTTAGTGTGCTGTGCAGCCTGTCTTTTTTTATTTTCTTTCAAATGTGGTCTCTTGTTCAGGCTTTCTTCTTCCATCACATCAGTATGATGCTTTATATATTTGGGTTTGTTCCTCAAAATTGGCAACACATGGTGAAGAATAATTCAGTGTGATGGTTTAGTTCAACTTTTCCACATCCAAAGAGCAGAGTGACTTTCCCTTTATAATTCTCCCCCCAACCTTAAATTTTAATTTTGGTGTGACTTACATTGCTTAAACTTAAGAGGGTGCTGTAGTGCAACACCTTAAAGATGCTGGATTTGTCAGCCAGAGGAAGTAGTTTGAGCCCACGATACCACGTGGTGGAGTGAGACCCTGTCATTTGCCCCCAGCTCCCGTCCACCTAGGAGTTCAAAAGCATGTAAAAATAAAAGTAGATCAATGGATACTGCTCTGGTGGGAAAAGCTAGCAATGTTTCATGCAGAAGTGGGAGCCCATGCCGGGCGTGTCCGGATTTCAGGAGAGGTCAGCGGAAGAAACTCCGGATGACCCGATATCTCCCAAACTCTGCTAGCCAGCTGGGGCAAAGTTAGTGTCAGGATTCCGGCAGTTACCCTTATTTAAATCATGCGTCTCGAGCCAAACTTCCAAAACTTCAAAAGGATTTATTGGGAGTGAAAAGGTCTGGCACTGCCTGGATGATGCCGACTCTGAGTCACATCATTCATTGTCACCCTTGACCCTGGTTTCCCCCCACCCCTGGGTGTATCGTAATTCATATTCTCCAATGGGACACATCCATAGCCAAGAGTCATCAATCATACTCTCCAGTTAGAAACTTCAGTCACCTAGTTACTATCTTTGAAAACGTTTATGGAATGCAGTTTTGGTTTTCAAGCTGCTCCCCCCTCCCTTTATGCTGGCAATTCTAAAAGACCATAGAAATATTTTATGAGTTGACAGATAGTTCTCTCCAGTGGTGTGCCATGGATAGTATGCATGTGTGAACGAATGAACTCAGAATCTTAGGTATCCAGAACTACTAATTTTGGAGAAATTACAAAGTAAACATAACATTAATCTCAAGCATATTTGTTGAGTCTGAAATTAGTCCCATTGAATTAGCAGATCTTTAAATTCACATGGTGGCTCCTTTCTGTACAATGAAGCATCTAGTTAATGTTTTACTACAGCAAGCCAAGTTGTCAAAGTTGGAGTTTGTGACCCGGTTCAGTTGTCTCAGCCACTAACTTTCACAGTTTTAATTCTGACTTAACTTCTGTGGGCCTCACACCATATTTAAGCGATCTCTAAGGGTGTGTGCATAAATACACTAACTTGCCTATCATCCCTGTCACATTTTATTTTTTGTATTTCTTTACAAGTTCAAATATGTAATTTTTGTTTGACAAATAACATTTTTTTTTTAAAAAAAAGGTAAAATGCAGTTTAATCACATACTTCCCCTTCCTTTCTCCTTCAACGTCCTTCAAATGTAGTACTGTTATATTTCCAAGATACAAAAGAGTTTCTGGATATGAAATCAGATCAATACATTTTTTTTGCATTTTTTTTTGCATATGTTCTGTTACAGACTTTTGCAAAATCCAAAACTGATTTGTTGTAATTTGAGGTTACTATTAGCCATTGCCTTTAACCATGGTAGTGCTTGATAGTCTGTACAATTAGGAGGGGCATCAGATTGGGTAGCTGTAGTGAGTTACTCTATTCAATCCGAAATCTTGATAATAGCATTATCAAGCTTGGGGATAGAGTAAGTCAAGTATCAAGGGTTTCTTCTCCTTCCCCTCCGTCTCCTCCACTTTCTTTTCCTTCTCATCCTTCTCTTTCTCTTCCTCCTTTTCTTTCTCTTTCTCTTTTTCTTTCTTGTTGTCTTTCTCCTCCAAACTCATTGCTTCCTCTTCTCTCCATTTCCATTATTTCCCCCTATTTATCCTTCGCTTATTAATCTTATTTCCACCCTCTCTACATATTCTTAGCTTTCCATCTCTTTTCTTTATAAGGACATGTCCTCTTAATGCTTTGCTTGCCCTAGTCAAATTCAAGTAAGCCACTCTTTCCTCCCAGGAGGTAACACCCCTCCCATTAGCATCTTTCCGTTTGGTTTCAGAGACTTTTAATCGGCCCACGACGTTCACCAGCCTTGCAGCCATGAGCAGCAATGCCTTCGGGGGACTTGGCAACCATGCCGTTAGTGAGTAAATTCTCCTTCGGCTCTGGCTATGTCATGCTTTGGGTTGGTTTAGTGGCAAGGGTGATAGAACAGTAGTTCTAATTGGCAATGGGGACATGGAATTGGCCAAGTAGCCCTTCTCTTAGAGGGTACCACATTTAACATTGCTATGAAAACACTGGGATGGGTCATCCAGCAACTCAGCATAGTTTAGAATCACAATACTATACTCATTTTATATTCACTTCTCAGCTTAGCTGGAAATTTCATTGAGGCTCTGTCCAGTGGTGGGCTGCAACCGGTTTAACAACCGGTTCTGTGCGCGCATGCGCACAGCATTCAAAAAACACAAATTTGAACCTCTGCATAGCAGCCCTGGTAGGTAGAACAGCTGAGGCGCATAAAATCCATTGTGCCATGCGAATCAGCTAAGCTGAAAAAGACTGAAAGCTAGGGTGGGGGTGGGTGGGGCCAGCTGATCGTTGGAACTACCGGTTCAGTAGAATCGGTCCGAACCAACAGCAGCTCACCACTACTCTGTCCTACTTTACATTAGATGGAAAAAGGAGGGAGGGAGGGAGGGAGGGAGGGAAGGAAGGAAGGAAGGAAGGAAGGAAGGAAGGAAGGAACTTTATGATACGGGCTGGGTTGAGACAGTTGACGGGCTCAGTGTCACTCAGCTGGCTCTCATGCCTAATGGCAGCCTAGAACTCATATTTGCCTGGTTTCTAGGCCAGCACTTTAACCACTACACCAGACCAGCTCTTGGTACATAAGCTACCTTGAACTGACCAGAAATAAGGATGAGATTTTTTAAAAAAAACTTGCAATAAACAAAACAAATGTAAATTTGCTTAGTATTATATATTGCTTTGGGCTTTAGTAAATGTGTATGTATGCATGTATGTATGTATGTGTGTGTGTGTGTGTATATATATATTGCATCTTCGTTTTACTGGCAGTTTTAGTAGCATTTTGACGCTGTTCTACGCTGCCACGAATCTCAGAAATTCACCATCATATAAATTAGAGATCAATGATTAATTCTAGATGATCATGTAATCTAACACAAATAACTCTCCTGTCTCTATGAAGACACCTTGAGTATATTGGTATATTTCCTCAGACATTGTAAAAAAGAATGTTCCACTAAATGGCTTTTGTAGAAGTTGGGGCAGATTAATTCACTTACTTCAGAAGAGGTAGCTCTGTCAATAAATTGTAAAAGCTAATGTTTTAAAACTGAAAAGTTCCCATTTATTTCATTAAACCGTAAGTAGGACCTGCTCTTTGGAGTTGGAAAAGAATCACAAGCCACCATTGTCCACATTGTTCTCAGTTGCAAGATGTAGATGCTACTAAATAACAAGAGGAATTCGAAACCAGAAAAGAATGATATTTTGATGAATGTTTAGATTAAGCAGTGAAATGTATAAGATTTTATTGCATCTGGTAACGACAGCAAATCAACTCAATTGGGTTGAATGTATCCTATCACTGATTGAACTCATCGTCTCTTATTAAGGACTGTTGGAAGGGAAGGTCCTAAATAATTTATCTACAGTTCTAGGCTGGTCATCTCAAAAAGCCCAGAAGAACACCTATCTTTGATCCAAAGCCTGCATTAAATAAGTCCATATGTCTTATGAGATAGCTTAATCATATTGATTGATTATGTGCTGTCAGTCATTGTTGACTTTTATTGACCACATAAATCACTGTTTCTCAAACTTGACCACTGTAAGGTGCATGGACTTCAATTCCCAGAATTCCTCAGTAGATTTTCTCCATTAAGGATCTGCCCATAATAACCTGATTCTTTAGGCCTTGCAGTAGTTTTGCCCATATTCCTCCCTGTTAATAAGTCAGTGGAACAAGCAAAGGCAATACTGTAGAAATGGAGACTGCATGGTTTTCATTATCAACTTTTATAAAAGGAAACATGGCTGGTGTTTTCCCTTCATTCAAAGTACCATATTTTTTGGCATATAAGACGCTCCAAAGTATAAAACACATCTAGCTTTTGGGGAGGAAAACAAGAAAAAAAAATCTGCCTGTGCCTCCCAGCAATTTGCCTCCTTGCAGCAAATAGCAAACAGCCTGTTTCAGCTTCAACTTCAGCACAGCCTGATTAGTACAAGCAGCCGATTATCAGTTGGATCGGCTTCCCGACAATCAGCTGTTTCAGGCTGCAGGGATCGCCATAGCCTATTGCCGCCTTCATGCACCCCATTTTTGGCATCTGCATCCCATTTTCAGCTTCTGCACACCCAATTTTCTGCCTGTTTTGGGTGGTAGGGATCAGAACAGGTGGAAATGGGGTGTGTCAAGGCCGGAAATAGGGCGTGCGGAGATGGCAATAGGTAATGACAATCCCTGCAGCCTGAAACAGCTGATCGTCAGGAGGCCGATCCAACTGACAACCAGCTGCTTGTACTAATCAGGCTGTGCTGAAGCTGAAACAGGCTGTTTGCTGTTAGCTACAAGGAGCCAAATTGCAGGGAGGCAGAGGCCAAAGGGTGGGGGCCAGCAGGTGGGCGGGACTTCAGCAATATTCGGTGTATAAGATGCACAGACATTTCCACCCACTTTTGGGGGTGGAAAATGTGTGTCTTATACTCCGAAAAAATACATTATCTTCAAATCCAAAGCTTTTATAGGTAGCAAGCAAAAATTTTAAAGAAGAAACAAACGAAAAGAACAGAGGTTTTAATTCTAAAAAAAATCAGTAAATTCAAAAGAAAGGAATCTCTAATTAACCATATGCAACATTCCTGAAGGAACAATAGGAATTAATCCTGCATGCGGGCATCTCTGTTGACTTAGGAAGTTATGGATTTGGCCATTAGTATATGTACATTCCAAACTTTTAGGGGCATGAATGGAGTCAAGAAAAAGTCAAGATGGCAAGCATGATGCCACAATCAAAGTCCCGTAGGTCAAATGTAAAATAAAGAAGGCTTCAATCACACAGTCCTGATTTTGACCAGTTGGAGTTTCTTTGACCCCTCCCTATAGATGCTCCTGCTTTTATTGACTATGATCTATCTAGTCTGCTCCTCTGGGTTATCTTCTCTATGGGCTTTGGATGCTACAACTATTTAAGGATTGTCCTGTTTTGCCACAATGTAAGGAAGACTAAATATTTTCCTTAAACCAGTGACACTCAATGTGTGGTCTGGGGACTCCTGCGGCTGCCAGAGACCCTTTCAGGGTGTCCGCCAAGTCAAATAAATGTTTAATAGTTTCTCAGTTTTAATTGCCAGTGCAGTCAACCTTAATAGATATAACCCACATAAAGCAAAGCTCCGTAAGGTTCTCAAGCTTTTTTAAGAGTGGAAAGGGGTCCCAAGAATCAAAATATTTGAGAACCCATTACCTTAAATTGTTGACTTGGTGAGAAAATTATGTTAAATTGGCTGAGAATCCTGCAATGGAAAAAGGACACTTTTTCCCATCTAATTTTCCTTTCCTGAGTGATTTTTTTTAAAAAAATTGGATAGTGTCTCATGACTTTGTATGCCTTTTTATTACGTTGCTGTGCCGTAGATTCTCTTGACAGACACAGAAACAAACAGGTTCGAAATGTTTTAAAACAGCAACCAGCTTCGTGCTGGGCTCATTTTCTAATTAGTTTGGGCTTAGTTTTGTGTTGTTTAGTACTATCTTCAGGTTTATTTAGATGCTCTTCCTGTTCATAAAAAAAAACTAAAAACTTAAATGGCTCCCCCTGTCTTTCAACAGAGGGGTTGCATCTCTTCCCCTTAAATGAGGTGCTAACAACGATCTATCAATCTCCTTTCCTTTTCCAGCTCCCCATAATATGTATTCCTTTTAAAACTCTTGAGTGCTGTTAAAATAAACAAACTTGGGTTTGATTGGTAAGTACCCTCCACTGAGCATATTGCTTTCTGTTTCCCCTCCCTCCCTCCTTCCCCTTCCACTTCACCATTTCAGCACCCAATGCTATGTTTGGCCACAAGGATTGTCCCGGCATGCAAAGCTATAGTAACCCACACGAGCCTTGGAATCGTCTGCACCGAACGCCTCCTTCGTTTCCAACTCCACCACCCTGGCTGAAGCCAGGTGAGCAGGAACGCAGCGCGTCCGCTGCAGCTCATGAACGAGACAGAGATGTAGATAAAGGAGATGCTTCTCTTAGTAAAGATGACAAAGAAAGGTATGAAAAGAACACAACGTGTATGAGCATTCTGGGAGACTTGTGGTTCCAGGGACCATCAATGGTCAGTGATGACACTATAAATTTTCAACAAAGGAGAAATATCTGCAGCTCAGGGTTGAAATGAGGGATCCTTGGTGCTCCCTGAGCTTGGTTGTTTTCTTTCAGACATCTCATTTCCCAAACTAGGTAACATCAATGCCTGTCACTAGCATCAGTGGTGGTATTCTACCAGTTCAGCCCGGTAGTAAAAAATGCTACCGTTCGGCCAAACCGGTAGTAAAAAAAAACAGCTACCAGTTCGCCTAAACCGGTATTTCTTTTTTTCCCCCTCCCAATGATCAGCTGTTCCAACGATCAGCTGTGCCGGAATCCAGGAGGCTTCCCTGAGGCGTAGGAGGCAAAAAGGTGTGTGTGCGTGCAGCGAGGCCCCCTGTGCTCTGTTTTTTGCCTCCTGGGCCTCAGGGAAGCCTCCTGGCAGCAAAAAGAGCTTCCCAGGAGGTTTCCCTGAGGCGTAGGAGGCAAAAAAATGGAGCGCAAGGGGGGGAGGTGCTGCAAAAAAAAAAGAAGAAGCCACATCCACCCAGTCACATGGCCATGCCCACCTAGCCACGCCCACAGAACCAGTAGTAAAAATATTTGCATCCCACCCGTGACTAGCATTGATGATGTTACCTAGTTGGATAATGAAATGTCTGCAAGAAAACAACCAAGCTCAGAAAGCACCAAGGACCCCTCGCTATAAATTATCCCTGTACACCAGTATCTCTATCTCTGTCTCTGCCTTTCAATTTATCTACCTAATCGATGGCCAAAATCTTGTAAAATTGTCAAGATTTTAGCCAGCAGGTTTTGACAATGCTTGCTTGACATCTCACGAGCTTTTGATATTCCTGATGAAACTTCCCTGCAAGATTTTACAGGGGAACTCTTAACATCCTTTTTGAGATCTGGGGATTCGGAAATATTTGCCCATTAAAAAAAAAAAAACTGACTACATTCCATTTTGATTTCCTTGAATATGTTTTGGGAAGTTACATTGACATGATGCCAGCGTGTACTTTGTTGGTAATGTTTGAGTTACATCACGGTCTTCAAAAGCTTTTTCATGATGACATGGTTTGCTTAAAGCAACAGGTTGGGGGAACTACCGTTTAGAAGCCTGGGGAACAAGTCAATATTTTAGAGCTGAAATTTACATCCGATGCTTTCATTTGTAGATCTTCCAATTTCATTTTGTAGAACTTTGTCACCACAACATATTTAGAGTTGATAGCAAGACTAAGATTGCAACCTTTCTTCTTGATCTGAAAATTTGCTCACCAAACCCAAAATAGTAGTTAGCTATGATGACCCAGAGTGTAACAAAAATGTAACAAAATCCAAAACAAACTATAATGAAGGAAATTCCACAATGGACCAGGATAAGTAATTACCAACTTCAAGGAGATAACAAGGCACAGTCTGTGGAAGAACGCCAACCAAGATAATTTCAGCCCAAAATAAAACATGCATTGCTTCTGGCAATGCTGTGTTGTAACCGTCTCTCTTATATACTATTCTCCCCACCTGCAACCAATATGGGGGATCATGGCCGCTTCCTCTCTCATAAGTCAAGTTGTTTCCTTCTCTGTTCCTCCCTGCATGTCCTAGGATGCAGAGGGGATGGGCCTGGTTCTTCCTCTGACTGCCCAGCCGGCCTCTGCCCTTCCCCAGCCTCCTCCACAACCTCCGGAGCCACACCTCCATTCCCTGTCGGCTGTTCCTCCTCTCCCTCAGAGTCCGACTCTGCCAAGGGCATGACATTAGCTTCCATTGCATTTTCAAACCATTTAAATACAGGTAGTCCTCGACTTAACAACAGTTCACTTAGTGACCACTCAAAGTTACAATGTCACTGAAAAAAATGTGACTTATGACCATTTTTCACACTTAGGGCCTTAATTTTTATCTACATTACTTCTGGTCTCCGTGATAGTTGGAACCAAGTGTCCCAACAATCTCTTTTGAGTCTCCGGTTTCTCAGCCCATCTCTAGAATAAGACAGACAGATAAGGGTGCGGAGATACAGAAGTCTTCCTTTTGTCAAAAAAACATGGGTATGCTTCTGAATTAGGAACTTACATTATTAAATCACAGGTTGCCTTCTTAATTCTGCATCTGATGCTGTTTCGATATACAAATGGCAGGGAGATAGAAGCCTTCTAGAAGATGATGTTGGAATCTGATCTTTGCCAAACCATCTGAAACTATAAGGAGCTGGAACTAGTTATCCACACTTGGCAGGTTATAGTTACGCAGGACATATTCAAAAATTTGGCTTTAAGCACCTCCATATCCCTTCTTCTGTGTTAATTTTTGTGCCTTTTAATACTTCTAGGGAGACTGTTGAGAAAAGACACTCAAGCCACCCTTCACCAGCATCTATCCATTCTGTGAGTTCCCTCGGACACAGCCGCAGCTCAGTTGAACAGATGAGGAGCCACCTGAACTCAGAAGCTCGTGAAAAAGAGAAGTCCAAAGAGCGGGAGAGGGATCATCCAGAACCACGGAAGGAAATCAGTGCCGATGAGCCACACAAGGCAAAGGACAACTACATTTCAGACAAGGAAAGCGTGAGCCACGATAGCAGATCGTTGGAAGAATCTAAGCAAGCATCTCAGGTGCCTTCACCCTTCACCAGGACACCTGTAGCAGAAAGCACCAGACCGAACAGCAACTCGAGTCGGGATGCTGAGAAGAAGAGTGAACCTACCTATGAGAACCTGAAAAAATCGAGCGAGGTCAAAGTGAAAGAGGAGAGGAAGGAAGATCACGACATTTCTCCGGAAACACCACAAACACACCGGCCTTCTGAGCAGCCACCATCCATGCCCACATCCAGTGTCCATCCAGGCTCTTTAGCGTCCATGCCCATGACGGTGGGCGTCACTGGCATCCACCCCATGAACGCCATCAGCGGTCTGGATAGGACTCGCATGATGACCCCTTTCATGGGCATTAGCCCAATCCCGGGGGCCGAACGCTTCCCATACCCTTCATTCCACTGGGACCCCATGAGAGATCCCTTGAGGGATCCCTACAGAGATTTAGACATCCACCGGAGAGACCCTTTGGGTAGGGAGTTTCTCCTGAGGAACGATCCGCTGCACCGCCTCTCCACACCCAGGCTCTACGAGGCAGAGAGATCTTTCAGGGACCGAGAGCCACATGACTATAATAATCATCACCACCACCCTCTTTCTGTTGACCCGCGCCGTGAGCACGAAAGAGGAGCACACCTGGACGAGAGGGAAAGGTTGCACATGCTCCGAGAGGACTACGAGCATGTACGGCTTCACTCTGTGCACCCGGTGGCGCTGGATGGTCATTTGGCTCATCCAAGTCTCCTTACTCCAGGACTTCCTAGTATGCATTACCCTCGGGTCAGCCCCCCGTCAGGACTTCAGAATGGCATCCTCAATAAAACTCCTCCCACAGCGGCCCTGAGTGCTCCTCCCCCTCTCATTTCCACCCTCGGACCTCGTCCTGGTTCCCCCCGAAGGACTACCCCTTTGTCGACAGAAATGAGGGACAGGCCGCCTTCACACACTCTCAAGGACATCGAAGCGCGATAAGTAATGGCCGAACATACATCCAAGTGAGAGAACAATTAGACAAACAGATCTTCTTACTCAATAAATGTAGACTTTGGTAATGACCCAGCTGTATAAGATGTACACACCCAGATGTACTAAGGTTTTTCTTTTCTTTCTTGGTTTGTTTTTTCCAAAAAAATAATAATAATGGTTGGGTTGTGTGTTATATGTTGAAAAAAAAAGTTTTCAGAACCTTTTAGACAAATTGGCACATTTTCTACGTAAATGCTCTTTCTTTCTTACTGTTCCTAACAGAACAAGATGTAAGGCAGTATTTCATCTCCCCCTCAAAGTTGTCCCTCTTTCCACCTTTCTGTCTCTCTCTCTCTCTCTTCATTCTCTCCAAGTTGAAATGAAGAAAAAGTAGAATCCCTTTATTTTACTTTTTTTTTTTTTCTACCCTGTAAGAGAGTTGTTGAAAATAACATTATTTCGTGGGTTAGTGGGTCATATATGCAACATGGGTGAGACGAAAGCTTTACTTTGTAAATATGTACATAGGGGGAAAAAAAGAATAAGTAACATAATGCATTGCTACTTCTTAAACTGTGCTCTTTGCAGACTTTAATTGTGTGAAAGACCGCAGACCTGCGGTACATCTAATGTCATAAGACAGCTAAACCCCTTCAGCTATGCAATTAATTTTTGAGGTTTTTCACAAAAGCCTCTTTAACTCAAAGGAGCCTTGTCAACACACACAACCACACACAAAGTCATACTTTCCCTGAACAAACTCACATAACCCTGAAACCTTTTGGATGAAGAAATAAGTCATCTTCATCTTCAACAAATTAGAGCTTGGATTGCTCCTATTGTTCGTTTTTCCTACCTATTTTTTTTTTAAAAAAACCCTTTTGCTAGCTAGTGTTGTTCCTTTTTCATTATTTAATTTGAAAAAAAAATGTTGTACAATGTTAGATTACATCCAGCCTCTTCATTGCTGTTCCTGGGTCACTGTGAATCAAACTTTAAAACTTAGAAGTAGACCATTTTTTCTGAAAGCCATTTAGAGGAGCCAAACAAACTCTGAATTTAACTCCCAAGAATCCAGCCAGCATTATTGCCTGGACTGTCCTTCTCTTTAGGTCTTATAAAATGTGAGGAATGGGTAAGAGACTCACAATTTGCTCCCCCACTTCCAGGTTTTTGGCCAGATTACAACTTTGAATTAAGAACTATGGAAATTATGAAATAAATGAGAAATTACTATGTTAATTTCAATGTTATCAAATGAAGCAATTGTCCTGACTTTGCCTATTTGGTCATCCTTGTTTCATGCAACATATAGAGTATAAGCCAGGGATCTCCAAAGTTGGCAACTTTAAGACTTGTGGACTTCAACTCCCAGAATTCCCCAGACAGCATGACTGGCTGTGGAATTCTGGGAGTTAAAGTCCACAAGTCTAAAGTTGACTGGCTGAGGAATTCCGGGAGTTAAACTTACCAAGTCTTAAAGTTGCCAACTTTGGAGACCCCTATTATAAACAATGATTTCTCTAAGTGACAAAACGAGTGTCATGAAACAAGACTGACACTTATATAGGCTAATCTGCCCAGTGGGGTTAGAAAAGGCAAGATGGTAGTCACAACATGATCAATGCCCAGCTTATTTTTTAAAAAAACTTTTGCTTTATGAAGCAAAAGTTATGAAATGCCTGTAAAAATAGGCCGGACTTTGATCATGCAGTCACAGCTGCCATTTGACTTCCTAACCTCTCTCCCAGATGCCCCCATAGTTACATGCTTATACCAGATTTTGAGGTCAGAGTAGTTAAAGCCCAATAACAATATTTGTACAAGATCCTAAACGTGGTTCATAATCACCTTGGTTAATTGTTTAGTTTTGTGGTTTATGAAAATCCGGTCCATAGGGTGAGTTTATAGACTCAAAAACAAAACCTCCAGATTCTTGCCCCTAATTCTCTCATTAAGGTTGGGCAAGCAAGGAAGTGTTACGTAGAGATGAATGATGGGGTTTGTAGTCCAAAATCTGGTGGGTAAAATGATGGGTCTTGGGCGTTGCCTTAGTGGTTCTAGCCACCTCCAAAACTCAGCAAACAAAGGGCACCTGATGCTTCAAGACTATTCGCAGAAATATCTTCTCTTATTTTGGCATCGGTTCGATCTGATGGGAATTGGAGTCCAAAACAACCGCAGTACACCATGTTGCCTGTATTGAGTTTAGAGCTGAGCCTTATAACTTTTCTAAATGCTATCTGTTGTAAACCTGATACCTCTGGTGCTATATGGAGTAGGAACTTGGAACGTAAATATCTTTGCCATTTGGGAGAAAGAATCACTGATTTTGGGGTCAGGTACCAATTTTCTTAACCCTTTTCCTGCATTCAGACTCTAGTTGAACATCCATTAACATAGGCATAAGCCTTGTTATAAGGATGCACCTCTGACTAGGCGAAGAAGTCTGCTATTAGCTCTTCAGATACGTTGGTAAGACAGTACACTTAGGTTAATATTTTTCCACCATCCCATCATTGTAGGGGTGAGCAGTAGAGGACCATGGCAACATGTTGGCTGTATCCCCCTCTGGGAATCCACAGGAGCACCATGAATATTCCAGAAGCGAGAAAAGGCTTAAATTTCATGAGATCAAATAGGTTAGGAGATGTCAATGATCTCATTTGAAATTTCATGCATTTTCAGGTGAGAAGATTGGAGCCTTAGAAGATGTGGATGGAGGTGTGTAAGAATCCTAAAATTGCTTGAAATTGGTACTCCCAAGAGGTTTGGGCCATTTTAAAAAGGATACTCTGCTTGATTTTTGGGGTGTGCATCCCATTATAGGTAGTCCTTGACTTACAACCATTTGCTTAGTGACCATTCAAAGTTAACAGCGGCACTGAGACAAGTGACTGATGATTATTTCTCACACTTACAACCATTGCAGCATCCTTATAGTCATGTGATCAAAATTTGGCCACTTAGCGACTGGTTCCTATTTTATGACAGTTGTAATTTCCTGGGGTCATGTGATCCCCTTTTGTGACCTGGTTCATATTTATGACCTTTTTCTGTTTCCCAGGATCATGTGATCCCATTTTGCACCCTTCTGACAAGCAAAGTCAATGGGGAAGCCTGATTTGCTTAACGACCGTGTTAACTACCTTAACAACTGTAGTGATTCACTTAACAATGGTGGCAAGAAAGGTTGCAAAGTAGGGCAGAAAACTCACTTAACAGTCTTGCTTAGCAACAGAAATGTTGGGCTCAATTTGTGGTTGCAAGTCGAGGATTACCTGGACTCAGAATTATGTAATGATATTTATAACTGAAAAAGGTTGCCATTGTGAATTGTTTGACATTGATTTTTGTAATTGTTTTAGCATCAATCACAGGCAAAAAGAAATGACAAGTGTCCATTTTTTTCCCTAAGTAGAAATGGTTTTCATATGTTTGATGCTTCTGTTTCCTTAAGTGTCTTGATTTTAAATGCTGAGTTCTGTTTTGAAATACTTTGGAGAGAATATGACTTTTATCAGAAAGCGTACAATACCTTGCCTCCTAATAATCTGTAAAAATATGTGTATGGGATTAAAAGAAAATAGTTCCTTTGGTCTTCTAGTGTTAAAGTGATATCTCAAATTGTTTCTCCTGTTTTGACAAAAAAAAAAAAGTCTATTACAGACCACTGTTTCTAATGATCAAAAATCTATTTTAGTAGTCAACTAAAAAGTTTTAGTTGTGAACTTCAGATTTTGTGAACTCCAGATGTTGTGCAGTGTTTTTTTTAAGAACAAAACAAAACAAAGCAAAAAAAAAAAAGAGAGAGAATCTGAAAAATATGTACACTGGCACTGTAGTGATAGCTTTCAGTATTGTATAAAAATATTGTTATATACAAACCTTTTTTTGCTGTTTCTCCTGTATGTAATAAAGTCCTTTCTAAATCTTATGTGAAAAAAAAAAATCAACAACTCTGAAGCGACATTCAATCCACAGCATGTTTCCTCATGAGCAAAGCCTTGTGTAATGTAAAATCTGTGCCATGTTATTAAAAAATGTGAACTAAACTGGTAGGCATTCTTTGTTTGGTGGGGCATAGTTGAAAAGACAAGGAATTGGCAGTAACTCGTCAAACAGACCTCAGAGTTTGCTGAACGTCGATGGAGATTCTCAAGTCATCCAGGTCATTGTTATCCCAAAAATGCTTCTCTTTTCCCATATGCAATTAGATTTTCTTGGTTTTGCTTGAAGGCATTTCGCTTCTCATCCAAGAAGCTTCTTCACTTCTGACTGAGTGGTGGTGGGGAATTGAACTGGCATCTTGGTGTCTGGAGCTTCGTTCTATCTCCCCCTTCCCTTCTCCCATTATCTGTTGGCAAGCTGAGAAGCGAAAATAGGTGCAACAGCAAAAACGCTGTATGAAGCTTGACATTACCTGTCTATGTAGATAAAGAAATGCATTGAGAAAAAAAAATCTGATTAGTTGAGATCAGTTGAGAGTTCCTTCTGATGGATATCTAAAACGTAATAATGGAGAACGTAACAAGAGTAGACAATAGAGTCACACGTTGGGAGCCACCAGAGGTTGGAAGAAAATATAATAATATGTCACATATCCACTACAAGTTGTGCTTCCAACTCTGTTATTAATTCTGACAACTGCCTACAGCACTTTTCTTGACAGTATTTTTTGGAAGTGACAGGGAGAGAATGACTGAGCCAAGATTACCAACTAAGGTTAACATTGGACTAGAACTCACAGTCTCCTAGTTTCTAGGCTGGTGCATTAACCACCACACCAATGGCTGTTAAAATCTTTACACCAGTGGTGGGATTCAAACTTTTTTACTACCGATTCTGTGGGCATGGCTTAGTGGGCGTGGCAGGGGAAGGATCCTGTAAAATCTCCATTCCCTCCCCACTCCTGGGGGAAGGTTACTGCAAAATCCCATTCCCTCCCCACCCCGCTAACCTGCTTTCCAGCTCTGTTCTCCTGTGCAAGGCAACAAAAGAAGACCCAGCCAATCAGCTGGGACTTGGGAGTCAGAGAATAGATGGGGGGGGGCAGTCAGAGGTGGTATTTGCTGGTTCTCCGAACTACTCAAAATTTCTGCTACCGGTTCTCCAGATCTGGTCAGAACCTGCTGAATACCGCCTCTACTTTACATGGTCTGGCATCCTTCACCCTTTTTTTCTTTCAAATATCTGTCTGTCATTCTGTTGCAAATTCTCCTTCCTGGCTGCAAGTTAGCATGGCAATTAATTTTTTTTAAAAAAAATGAATTATTTGAAGTAGTTTTTTAAGTCACTGTGTTCTCTTTTGTGGGTTCTGTAATTCTTGTCAGCATCTGATTAGAAGACGTCAAAAGTGTACAAACTGGTTCCTCTTTCCATTTCTTTATTGATATTGTACATTTTTTAAACCCAAAATCTTATTTTCCCCCTAATTGCTTTTCATGGTTTGACATAATTAAAAGCTGATTTCATGGTTCGTCAACTTGTAAAACATTCCTTTGCCTGTTTTCAAGTTGCCATAAATAAGGAGAGGGGATCTGAAGGAGCAGTACTGGCAGTTTAAAACCAGAAGTGCATTCCACTCTTATCTTAAAAAGATGGTAGCTAGGCTACCGGATCTTCTGCCACTGAAAATCCTTCATTGGAGAATGTCACCCAGCCTATGAATGTGCTTCATTGTTGAAACTTGGCTCATGATTTATTTCTTTACAAGAGAGTTTACAAGAGTTACAAGACAGAATAATTGCCTTCAGAATAGATACACCTCTTTATTGAAGAACATAAAGGATGCTCATCATATTCCCACCCTTTCATCTTGATGGTTGTTAAAGACCATGGATAGGACTCAGTTCAGCTTAGTGAAGTATGGAGAAGGGTTCTCTCTTGAAGTAGTTTTTCTTTTTAAATTTTGATAGAAAGACTTAATAAATCCATGTTATAGGACTTGTTTCACATGCTTTCATCTGGAGTCAATGCTGACTTGGAGGCATAAATAAGTCTACTAACAACAGAGCATCAATCAACAATAAAACAGTTCCACCCTCAGGACTATTCCATCCCACCTGATGGAAAAGAAGAAGACCTAAAACATTCCCAACCAATGAAGTTCACTTCTCCAAAACTCATGAATGTCTGTAACAGAAGGAGTCATGTTGTAATGGTTACAAAAGCATGGATGATGATGATGATGATGATTAATAATAATTATTATTATTTACAGAATTACCTCAGAGACTACCACATCAACCCCCAGGCAGGTTAGAAAATAAATGAATTGGGAAGGACAAAGATGGAGGGATGCAAAGTTAGTTTTGGAGGCAATCAGAAGTATTGTAACACACACACACACACACACACACACACACACACACACACACACTCCCAAGTGTCTGGTAGAAGATTGAGAAAGAAACATACCATCAATTCGAGGGAAAGGACTTTATATGTGTGTGTGTGTACATAATGGCAGGAGGGAGTTTGTGGCAGATGATTGTCTGTCTGTCTGTCTGTCTGTCTCCCCCCCTCTCTGTGTCTATCTACCTATCTGTCATCTTTCTTTCTTTCTTTCTTCCTTCCTTCCTTCCTTCCTTCCTTCCTTCCTTCCTTCCTTCCTTCCTTCCTTTCCTTTCCTTTCCTTTCCTTTCCTTTCCTTTCTATAGAGCTATGGTGGCACAGTACTGTAGTCTAATTCTGCTGACTGCCAGCAGTTCAACAGTTTGATTCTCACCAGGTCAAGGTTGACTCAGCTTTTCATCCTTCCAAGATAGATAAAATTAGACCCCAGATTGTTGGGCAATATGCTGACTCTGGAAACTGCTTAGAGAGGGCTGCAAAGTAGCGTGAAGCAGTATATAAGTATAAGTGCTCTTGCTATCTACCATACCTCCCCCTCCTTCCTACATGTCTGTCTGTCTGTCTGTCTGTCATCATCTTTCTATACTGCCACAAGCTCTTGGTAATTTAACAGAAAATGCATGCCAATAAAATGTCTAGTGTACATTTAAAAACTCATCAAAACCAAGAAACCCAAATGTCAAACCACCGGTGTTGCCATTCCAGAGGACTGGAACTGCTGTAGAAAGGCATTGTCTCTGAGCTTTAAGATCACCAGCTGGAAGATTTAATCTGATGGGCCAATTCTTGTAAACATTGATATTTATTTGCTACAATCTTGCATACAATTCTCCCCTAAATAATGCACTTTCCCCAAATCCTTGATTTCCTGTATGCTACTTTCAAAGTAGGCAGCTGGGATGAGGTGATTGGGAAATGGAAGGATGCATTTGAGTTCAATCTATATATCGATCCATGAACATTAATGTTGTCAGAACCTCTGCTAGAGACAACACAATATTCTGCCAAGCAGGGGTGGGATCCTACCAGCGTAACAGCCAGTTCGGTGAGCTTTGCACTACGCAAGCATGCACAATACTTGCAAAACAACTTGTCCTGCAAGCAATCACCATCTCCTGCTGACATGAGGCATTCAGCTGTGCTGCACAAAGCAACTAAGGTAAGAATAAAGGATAGCCTAGAGCCCAGGTGGGTGGGTGGGCCCAATCTAAGAAAATAAGTTCTTCAGTGAGAATCGGTTCGATGTCAGCTGCTCTTTGGAGCTACCGGTTCTATAGAACTGGGCCAAACCGGTAGAATCCCACCCATGCTCCCAAGCAGACCCACATCCAAAGTTTTGGACCAGAGCTCCCCACAGGAGAGCAATTTTATTCTCCTTTTCTGAAGTAAGGCCAGTAGGTGGCAGCAGAGCAAAGCACAGCAGAGCAAAGATTTTTATGTCCAAAAAAGCAAAGCTTTTGTGTTAGGGAAGAGATAGAAGACATACAAATTACCAAATACACATCTTCACATTACTCTGCATCTCCATGTTCACACATATTTTAAGGATAAGATGATGAAGATGAAGATGATAATGATGATGATGGGGGAAGAGGAAG